GCAAAAGCAGGAATAGTGAAGACAAATAAGAGGGAACTCAGAAGGACAATTAAATAATTTGCCTTGTTCTTGGAGACATCCATATCTTCCTTCCCATCCTCTGCTTCTCCTTCCTTGCCCATCTGTGTAGGCCAACAGCTGAGTCAGATTTTGGCTTAGCTTCACCATTATAAAATATTTCTTTCTGCCTGGTTTTGCTTGGGTTTGGATTTAGTCTGGCTGTGGTAGATGCCAAATGAGGGTAGCGGTAGCTGTCACCTCCTAAAGATGAGTGGAAATCGCCTGCTGCCTGGGATTAAACGGGATGAACTGGTGGTATGTGTGGAAGAGATTGTGGCTGGAGTGATGCCCCTGCTGCCACTCAGTCACAGTCACCCAGAGGTGCTGATCACTGTGTCACTCAGCAAACCGAGTGTGCCACCTGCACCAAACTGCTCCTGTGCCTGGAAAACACATGGATCTGTCCTGAGCAAATTCTGCTGCATTCATGGTCATGGCCCACGCTCTGGGTAGAGCCCAGGCATGACCTCCAGCTGGGCTTTGGAGACTTTTGGGTCTCCTTCATTTAGCAGCTCCCTTTTATAAGCCTTGCCTTCTGGTCTGAAGTGAATTTTCACCTTCCCTTCCCTTTTCAGAAGGACAATAGGCATTGCTGAGGGGGGATCTCAGCGTGACAGCAGGATTGGTGCAAAGCTGCTCTCTGCAATTCATCCGCTTGCTCATTCTTGCCTTGTAGTTCAAAAACCTCATAATTATCTGACATCCTCTGCTATTAAAACCTCTTCTTGTGTAGGAGTTGTTTTTTGTTTGGATTGCAGCAACAGGCTTTCAGTCTTTGCTTCCTGCTGCTTCCTGACAGAGGTTTTGACAAGCCCTTCAGAGTCACTGCTGCTTTGTTAATTTTCTGGCTTTTCACCCCCTCCTCCTATTATTACTTTACGCTGATGTTTATTTGACCACACACTGATTCAACACTTACAGTTACCAATTAGGATCAAGATATTGCTTTGACATTTACCTGAAACTGAAGGTCTCTGTTGCCAAGACATCCAACTTCACGGAGTTTCTCAAGGCAGAGCATTGCTCATACTTTTATTTGTTAGGGGTTAGTCTTGTGATCAATGGTGTCCATAACTGACGTACATCTTCCTTGATGAACAATTTGCTTACATGCATGGGCAAAACAAGGAATCTCTGCACTAAGAGACTTTCTGGTTATTACCTTTTATGAATTCTTTCCTTGCCGTCATCAGCATCACACACTGGGGACACATACCAATTTTAAAACTTGTTATATTAGGGCAAATTGAGAAAATGGCAAAGTTCCACTTGGCAATAATTGGCAATGATTCCAGGTTTAAAATTAGCTTTTCTTTCTTTATTTTTTCCTTTTTTTCTTTTACTTTTTCTTTTAACTTTTATTTTTTTAACTATAATTTACATAAACTATGTAAATTACATAGTAGACCTTTATGTCTAAATAATTTCCTCAGCTTTCCTCACCTTCTTTTAATCATTTCTTACCCTCTTGTTTTTGCTCTGATGCTTTTCCTCTTCCTTTTCTGTGTTTCCATCCTGAGTGTGCTTTTGTATTACAGTTCTATTCACAGAACCTTAATTTGTTTACCTGTTTAAATGCAGTTAGTGCTGAGAGTGATCATGGTAGAATTTGACTGAAATAGAATACCAAACAAATACACTGATGAAGTGGTTCAAGTATCTTTTCTCTTTTCTCAGGCTGTTTGCACATTTGGCCAGACAATTTTCATGGATACATACAACTCAAAACTGAGAGGATCAGAAAATGTTATATTTCAAAAAATAAATTCTCCCAACTCAAGGCTGATTGAAATCAATGGTACAGCTCTCAGTAATCCTGTTTAGCAACAGAATAAATTCAGCGTTTTTAAATGTCTCAACCTTGGTTTCTACTCAGTCCTAATACTACAAACCATTATTTATGGAAGTTGTTCTCGAGAAAGACATTTATTGTACCACCCCTGCAAAAAATGCAGAGCAGCAGCCTGGTCTCAGTCTTGCAGACTCACACAGCCACAGTGAGGCACACAGCCCTACAAGCACTGCAAAATTTCTTTGGTGGGATGTTTTGTGTATTTATAAGTCTGTATTCTGTTAATCTCTGGAGTACCTGTTGAAAGAAGGCGTGTGGCCTGTCTGGTTCAGAGATGCACACTTAACTTCTGTCTGACCCTAAGCTCAGCTCACAGCTTTGTACTTTGTCCTTAACCACAGAGAAGTGCCCCCCACAGAATATTTTTGTACCTCAATTAGATCCCCACGCTGCCACTTCAAAGCTAAGTATATTAAGCTGGTCATCATAAGACATATCTGCCATTCCTCAGGGTTAGTCTTCCAATCTCCCCTTGGATCTTACCCAAAATGTGAATGTCCTTTACATTTGGTGCCTCTGCTGTGGTGCATGCCCTTCCCCAAAAACAGCTTGATGAAAGGGAGGCATTAAAGGGTGATTTTACAATTTGTTTTGCCTGATGGACAGATTCACCCCCCTCCACCTTGGAACATTTACTCATTCATTCCCCTTGGAACATTTACTTAGGTTTCCCTTCAGCTGTTATATGCAGAGTAAAGACACAGGGAAAGGACTTTACTACAGGTTTTAATTCTTCATTTAATCCACCTGAATCTTTGCTACGGTGTAGGAGAGTTCAGCTGTGGAGGACACACCAACACCAGCCATTTATCTGGATTAATGCTCTCTACTTCAGTTTTCAACCAAATATCTAAGCCTCAAACAGAGAATTTAAATCCAATTAAAAAGCACAATTCCAGCTTGGTTTCCCCCCACTTTTATCCTCTCTCCCAATGTATCCTTCAGTGATGCCTTTAGCAAATTAGATTAAAAGATATTTTTACAGCTATATACTTAAATGTCTTTTATAAAGATATATATTTGAAGAAACCATGTTTCTATACCAGTTACAGTGTGGCAATAAATGTGGTATATATGGGAGAGAACCAAAAGTGTTCGTTTCAACAAGCCTCAAAGTGAGGGTGTCAGAGTAATTTTCTTATGTTTTCTTCACACTAATAATCCACTCATAAATTGTTCCTCGAGCAGATCAGCTGATTAAAAATTGCCAGAGAAATACAAGTTATGGGACTGCCTGATAATCCAGAGCACTGCATTACCCTGTGGCCATTCTAGCATAATGTATACACACTCTGATATGAATCACAGAATCACAGGGTGGTTTGGGTGGGAAGAAACCTCATCCAGTCCCACCCCTGCCATGGGCAGGGACACCTTCCAGTGTCCCAGGCTGCTGCAAGCCCTGTCCAGCCTGGCCTTGGCCACTGCAGGGATGCAGGGGCAGCCCCAGCTGCTCTGGGCACCCTGTGCCAGGGCCTGCCCACCCTCCCAGCCAGCAATTCCTTGCCAATATCCCAGCTGGGCCTGCCCTCTGGCACTGGCAAGCCATTGCCTGGGTGCTGGCCCTGCAGGCCTTGTCCCCAGTCCCTGGGCAGCTCTCCTGGAGCCCCTTTAGGCCCTGCCAGGGGCTCTCAGCTCTCCCTGGAGCCTGAATACTTGTGCAGGGGAGCAGCCCCAGCTCTCCCAGGCTGCCTCCAGAGCACAGGGGCTCCAGCCCTGGCAGCAGCTGCGTGGCCTCCTCTGGGCTGGCTCCAGCAGCTCCACGTCCTTGTGCTGGTGTTGCCCAGGGCTGGGGCAGCTCTGCAGGTGGGGTCTCACCTGAGCACAGGGGCACAGGGGCACAATTCCCCCTCCCCTGCTGCCCACACTGGGGGATCAGCCCAGGGCAGGGGGGGTTCAGGGCTGGGGCAGGTCCAGCTCTCCCCCCCCAGCACCCCCAGGTCCTTCTCCCAGGGCTGCTCCCTCTGCTCATCCCCAGCCTGGATTGATCCTGGGGGCTGCCCTGACCCAGCTGCACTCAGCCTTGTTAAACCTCATGAGATTCCCCTGGGAATATTTTAACACCCCGTGTTGTTCCTTCTTAATTCCCTGTGCTAATAATTGCTGCCAATTAGACTAGAGGATGGATGTGAGATTTACCAGCCCTTGTCATTAGCCTGGTGACCAGCAAAACTATTGGGGTCCTGGATGCCCTTTTCTTCGGACAAAGCGTGCTGGCAGATTGCTTCCTGGCTGTCCCCACATACCCCAACTGGGAAGTTAACTTTCAGTATTGGCAGCACCAAATGTTCACAACTCAGCTTGCCAGGCTTCTGAAATAATGGAATTGGGTTAAAAAGGACAAGTTTAAAAATAGCAATCTGCAAGATCCTTTCTTGTTGGCTTCTGAGATAAGGGAAGGGTTTTGACTTGTTTTGTCAAATATTTCCCCAGCATTTTTAAATTTCTACCCTGCTATTGGTGTAGTTTCCAGAAGACTGCAGGCATCATGGGAATTGGAACAAATCTGTGAGAGTTTGGAAAACAGAGACTTGTGATGACTGTGTTTACACATAGGCTTAAAAAATGCTGTCTTTCCCAACAGGCAAAGGAAGCATTATATTGTAACTTTAGATATGTCATCAAATGACACATCCTTTGCTAGCAGAGCCAACAAAACAGAGAAAGGACCCAGTGCCCACCACATTTAGCAACTATTGTAGATGTAAAACTGAAGTTTGGAGCTTTTACTCCTTTGGCCCTGTGATTTTCCGTGTCTCCTGCTTTTTGCCCTTGTGTTTTGTAGAATGAAATTTCTGCCTCCTCATATGTGTGTGTTGTTTACGAGCACAGATAATTACTGGCCTTCAGTTTTGTATGGGGAGCCTAGTATTGTTTTCATGCAAGGACTTGCAGAGTCTGTGGGAAGTAAAAATTAATTGTTTACCCTAGTAAGGTGATATGTTGTTGTTCTTGGTATCTTTTAATTGTTTTTGATGAATGTGTCATAGTCACGTTTGTATGTTAAGAAATAGGACATGAGAACTCATGCTGATAGACTTAACCTAATGAATGATATCAAATATCAACTGCCTCGTTTTCTTGTTAGAGGGCTGCAGTTTAGCTGGCAGAATGGAGAGGAATTGGCAAATTGGACCGGCACCTTTAATTTCACGGATGACGGAGCAGTGAAGAGTGGCAGTGACACAGGCACCAGGTACCAACACCCAAGGGAATGACTGTAGAGATCTCTCTCTCATTGTATGAACCACAAATGTGAGCACAGGCTGTATGAAAAATGAGATTTGCAGTGTGCTTTGGCTTCTTGGCACTGCTCCCCACATTACAGAAGATGTCAGGGATGTCCAAACACTGTGCTGTTTTCCCCCTTGCAAGCCTTGGGAACATTTTGGAATATGCCATAAGCATCCATGAAGTCTACAGGAGAGTGGCTGCTTTGTCCTAGCCTCTGCTGTTTCCCTACCAATGCTGTGTGTCAAGGTATGGGAGAATGGGACTTCAGCAGAGAATGTCCCAACATGACAGTATTGGTGCATACAGAGCACACTGGGGTATGTGGTCTTTAGAATAAAACATGTATTCCATGAAAACATAGTTTAACTTGAATTCTTTTCAGGGCCTAGCAGGGGTAAAGTTTTCTGTCAAGATAAGACTGGAGTATTTATTTTATTTACAGTATTTGGCAATGTGAGAAGCACTGATGTGCTGCTGCACTCTTTGTACTTCCTAGCTTGACATGGGCTCAGATGTCTGCAGGGTCATGTGCAGACTCAGAAAACTGGCAGCAGTTGTGCCTAAAGAGCTCCACAGCTATCCCAGGCCATCTGCACAAATCCAGGCACCAGCACAGGCACTGGATATTTGGGCTGTCTTCCTGGAACACTAGTCACAGGGGTTAAAAATCATGAGTCATGTGTAGCATCAAGTTCAATAAGCAGCAGGGAAATCTTAGAAAGAACTGTAAAATAAAGAAAAAAACCTAAAAACAATTAAAAGAACCTTACACTTAATACTTGTGTATAAAAAAACCTCTGGGTAAATTTCCCATTTTATTTTAAATATCATCATTTTGTAACCATACACTGCTACAGCTGTGGAGCTGATAGCACTTCAAAGGCAAGCAGAAGTTGCAGAGTCTAACCTGCCAGAAATCATCCTGTCACTGAACCACAGCAATGCTGCAGTTCCTGTTCAGGCTCTTGCTGTAATGTGATCCTGTATGAGTGCTGCCTGCTGCTCTGCTGGCTGGTCTTGTAAAGGTTCTTTATAAGAGCAACCAACCCCCACTGCAGTTTTTCACTTAGAGCAGGGGGAAAAAAGGTCTATCTATCTATCTATCTATCTATCTATCTATCTATCTATCATCTTATCTTCTACTCTTGTTGCCTTTTTATAGACTGCTTATACAGTCTGTATTTACAAAGTCTTCAATTTAGGCACTTGGCATATAAAAGAACTCAGTGTGACACAAAGCCACACATCATCTTGAAGGCATGAGGAAATAAACAAATATAGATTTCCTCCTCTAGACACCTTTGACTGAGACAATTGAACCATCACTGATTTCATGACTGGGAGTCAAAACCCTTGAATACAAAAGACATGGTCATGAGGGGCTGAAGCACAGTGCTGCTCTCATTCTCTTCAGCCTCTTCAAAGACAAAGAGGTTCAAGGTACAAGTGGTTTTTACACAAACAAACTGCTCAAGCTAGATAGAAACTGGAAAAAGTTATAATACCACCGGGGAAAAAAAGTGTCTTTCAAAGCCTGTGTTATGTGATATGTTAGTGGCTGTGTCTCCACTGCCCAGGCTCCTCAGGGAATGGTGACATTCCCAAGGCTGCCAGAGCTCCAGGAGCACTTGGACAGTGCTGCGAGGGGTGCCCAGGCTGGGATTGTTGGGGTGTCTGTGCAGGGCCAGGAGCTGGACTTTGATGATCCTCGTGGGTCTCTTCCATCTCAGGATATTCCATGGTTCTGTATTACTAACAGCGGAGCTGAAACCTTTTCAGTCAGGGGATAAGTCTACCTGCAACATATTTCACACCTAAGGGTGTTAGAGATATTATTTATCCTTTGTCTACTGTATGAAACCTGGGAATATAGGAAAATAAAAAAGTACTCTGTAAGTGTGGAGGTGAGACTGTGTGGTGACTACTGCAGAGCTCTGTCAAAATTGTTTACTATTTACCTTTGATCACCTTTCAGACTGTGTTGTCACCAGACATCTCCTGAGAATCTTAATCTGACGCTCAACTTTAGGCTGTTGATGTAAAATGAAAACAAGTCTTCCTCTAATGAATAATTCTTTCCACTGAATGGAAAACTTTCAGAGTACATTTCACAGAACTGATTTTATTTGTATATATTTACAGGACTCCAGAGAGATGTCTGAAGTGCACAAAACTAATTGTATATCAGCATAAGCACAGAGAATACGTTTCACTGCACAGCTCTGCAGTTTTCTGTGTCATCACCTTCTTGTCAAAGGTTTGGTGATTAAAGATATTAATTGAAATAGATATGAATATGATTTCCATTAATCTGTACCATTTATATATAGAGACACATGTTTATTCATGCATATGTGGTATCAACTCGAACATATTCTAGAACTACTCTTTATCTTTTAATTACATAACTTAATGCAGGGTGTAGAGATGCTGACAACTCATCCTGTAGGAGTGAAGTTTTAGATGAAAATGAGGGGCTTTCAAAGCAAAGGCACGCTGAAAGAATGAGTGCATTAGAATTGCAAGTCAGCCAAACTTCATGACAATCGTGGCCTTAGGGGAAACCAATGAACAGTGAAGATTAAACACTGCATGAAAATGATCAGGTAAGAAAGAGATGAAGATTATAGTGTAATGTGATTTCAGTAAACACTGAGTCACTCCTCACAAACAATTGTTTGGGTTGGGAGGGACCTTGAAGCTCAGCCCATGCCACCCCCTGCCATGGACAGGGCCACCTTCCAGTGTCCCAGGCTGCTGCAAGCCCTGTCCAGCCTGGCCTTGGCCACTGCAGGGATGCAGGGGCAGCCCCAGCTGCTCTGGGCACCCTGTGCCAGGGCCTGCCCACCCTCCCAGCCAGCAATTCCTTGCCAATATCCCAGCTGGGCCTGCCCTCTGGCACTGGCAAGCCATTGCCTGGGTGCTGGCCCTGCAGGCCTTGTCCCCAGTCCCTGGGCAGCTCTCCTGGAGCCCCTTTAGGCCCTGCCAGGGGCTCTCAGCTCTCCCTGGAGCCTGAATACTTGTGCAGGGGAGCAGCCCCAGCTCTCCCAGGCTGCCTCCAGAGCACAGGGGCTCCAGCTCTCTGGTGGCTGAAGTCTGAAATCAAACACACTTGTGTCACTGAGCCCTGCTCTGACAGCTCTGCTGTGCTGGGATAACTCAGCTAACTCAGGTTTTCATCAGAGTGCTTAAGACAGTTTTTCAGACTGTGTAGAAGCAGCCCATGGAAATAAAATCTTATGTCATATATGTGGTGCACCCAAGAGTGTGGATCCTGTTTGTGTCACCTAATACTGCTCTGGTCAGACACTTGACAGGTGTCAATTTGTTGGGTCTTTTTGGGCAGCAGAGCCTTCATTTCAACTCAGATTACATTGCTGAGGGCCTTCAAGGTAGCAGGGAAATTGTGAATACTAGCAAGAAGTAAAAGTGAAACATAGGAGCCCCCCAAAAGCATAGGTATTTCAACCAAAGGATGACTACTCACACTGATGCAATAAAAACCAGTTATTGAACACTGGCATATTTTTGATTCTTGTGCACCACCCATTAATCATATTTCTATCTTTTGCATTTTACTTTGTGCAAATCATCATTAAACCTTACAGCATCCTTGTGGAGAATCAGGTAAAGGGTTTTATCTAATGCTGGTTATGAGAAGTGATATCTACAACCCCTTCCCAGAGCCCTGATTATTCTGCTCTCCTTTTAATATGTTTTGCAACTTACTGAGATTGTGAGTCGTCATGCTTAAATAATTTTTCACTGGCAGGAAGCTGCCTTAATGACAGGATGACTTATCTGCCATATTAGTTGGTTTCTGGTGTTCTCTTCAGTCTACTGGAGCTGAAGACAAGATTCAATGTAGAGCTTTTGTGGTGACACCACAGAAGCCTTTGATGGGTGAGAGGAGATTATACTTTCAGGCCTGTCAGTTTGTACACTGAATTCTCCAGTATGAAAAATCTGAAGCTTTGTCCCCACTGACTACAAAATAAAAAGTAGAATCAATTTGATTTATCAAATACATATTTTACTAGAGTGAATATAAGGGCTTAGAATTTTGCTTAAGTCACATTTCTGAGTTCCTCATACAAAGATCCTAAAATCTAAAATTCACAAGGAAAAAAAAAAAAAAGCAGTTGCTTGCAATAAGCTAAAATGTGGGTTTTGAGATGTCATAGATGTGTAAGTGTTGTCATGAGTTTTGCTATGCCTTCTAGGTGGGTGGTCATATGGATAACAACATCAGCAGATTATTTCAGTCAGAGTGAATGGGAAAGGGCTTGATTAAAACACCCAGGTAGCAGCTTATTAAAAATTGGAGAGTTTTGAATTGAAATTGGGAAAATAGGGCCTCCTGCAGCATGCTCCACTGCTGCTTGTCAGCAGACAGCGCTGGCTTGATACAGTGAAAAACAAGAAACTCGATTTCAATGTAATCTCCAATAAATCATTCACACACTGCACAGTGGGAAAACCTCTAAATGAAGATGAGTGTCAGTCTGTGTCAGAGAGGAGCTGGGAAGCACAGGCAGTGTTGGTGTTGGTGGACTGCAAGGTGGGCTTTCTTCCAGGGAGAAGCAGGAGGCAGCCTGGACTTTGCTGTGCCATTTAGGGCTGTCTTTGCTGGAGCTCCTGCTGCTACACCCACGGCTGCTGCAGTGGAGCTGTGTTTTGCAACTTAACTGTGGTGCTGTGCTTGGCTGAAACCAGGGAGAGGCTTGTGTCCCAAATCAGTGGGCAGATTGGAAGGGATCAACATGGCCTTGACAGGATGCTTGGTCAATTCACATTGCTAATGAGGTAATGAGAAGCAGAGCCAAGCAATTCCAAACGATCTGTGTGTGTAGAGACTTGGAAATGGGAGATAATAATCAGAATGGCAGTGAACGGGCAGTGCCAGTTTGACAGGAGCTTCCATAGTTGTGATGAAAAATATATCTTCAGGTCATCACAACC